GCAGGAAAATGGAATTACATTTTAAAACTTTCAAACTTCACTTCAATCACATACAGCACTTAACTAGCACCTCTAGGATATAACAGTTCAAAGGCACTACCTCCAAGATCCTAGCATATAAGAGCTTCAGTTTCAAAGTCACAGTTCTGCCCTGGCCAGTGTGGCTCAGTTGGTTGAGCATCTCCTGTGTATCAAAAGGTCCCCAGTTCGATTCCTGGTCAGGGCACATGCCCAAGTTGCAGGTTTGATCCCCAGGAAGCAGCCAACCGATGTTTCTCTCTCTCCCTCTCCTTTCCACTCTGTCCAAAAAATCAATAAAAACATTTAAAATATAAAAAAATAAGTCACAGTTCTTCTCAGGATAGTCATTTTATTTCAAAAAGAAAAAAGTAGGAAGTTATGTAGAAAGCTATAGAAAGAGGAAAGAACTAAACATGAATTAGGAGATCTAGTTCTCATTCAGGTTTGCTGTAAATAGCTATTTGTGGAACACTTCTTGGCTTTAGTTTATTCATAGCTAATCAGAGCATGATGATGTAGGTTATTTCTGAATACCTCTTTAGTTCTGTAAATCCCATGGTTCTCGACAAGAGGAAAATAGGAACAGCATGGGCAGAAACCAGGAAGAAGTTGAGAAAACCCAACCAAAGCATTTTGGGTTAACATTCACCCACTGTAGCTAATCAAGAAGAACCAAATGTGTCTAAAGGAATGAAAGTCAGTCAGAAGTATAAAGAGAAAGAAGGAAATAAAATGAAGAAGATGGACCCTAAGAATTCAATTTTCTTTCTTGAGCCTTTGCTCTAATTTGTCAAAAAAAACTAAGAATATCGCCCTAACCGGTTTGGCTCAGTGGATAGAGCGTCGGCCTGCGGACTGAAAGGTCCCAGGTTCGATTCCGGTCAAGGGCATGTACCTTGGTTGTGGGCACATTCCCAGTAGGGGGTGTGCAGGAGGCAGCTGATCGAGGCTTCTCTCTCATCAATGTTTCTAACTCTCTATCCCTCTCCCTTCCTCTCTGTAAAAAAATCAATAAAACATATTTTTTAAAAAAACAAAAACTAAGAATATCAGGAGAACCCCACCAGAGGAGGCACACATTTTTCCAGGCCATTTTTAACTCTTACGTGGTTACCAAAGTGATTGTTTGTGAGAGGGTAGGGTTGTCTACTACACTAATTTCAATCTCCCAAAAGGAAGAAATCACTGGAATACTCTCTGCTTTATTAGTTGACGTTTTTGTTTACCTCCTTTAGCTTGCTATTTTATTATTCAAGGAGCTGGAAATTTAGACCATTCAAGGAGCTGGAAATTTAGACCATTACTGCCATAAATGTATAATCCCTTTCATAATTCATATATTAAAAGGCAAATGTTATTGGACAACTAAGGAACACTATTGTCCTATCCCTCAGTTATTAGCCAACTTTCTCCAGGACCTATGTGTTTCACATAGTAGGCATGCAATAGATCTATAACTAAATTTAATGATCTATATAAAAGAGTACCCTTAATCCCATCCTGGCTTTGATATGTGCAGCCATTTTTGAAAATCAAATTTACAAAAATAAAGTAGATTTGATGTCTCATTTCAAAGAAAACTTTTCTGTAATTTCTCCTTGCAGAAACCATTTTTCTCTGGAAAAGCATGTGTTCAAGTACAATTTTCTTCATTTCATTCTCACCTTTTTCTGGTCTGTCCAGTATAGAAGGAGTACAAGTGTCATAGTGGCCAGAGGTAGATTCACCAGGAAGCTAATGAAGCTTGCACAGAGCCCCTTTGAATGCACTGGGAAGACCAATTTTATTCTTATAATTTGTATTATTGAACCAGGAATTGTTGTAACTGTACCCAACAACTGTGTACATTTTAGGCCTCACAAAACCTGATCTATCCCTGATAATATCCTAGATGTAATTAAGTGTTCTTTCCTGTTAAGGAGAGATGCTTATGTAGCCACTTGATAGAATGGCTGATAAGTACATTGTTAGCCCTAAACTAGAAGTATAAAATCATTAAGACCAAATTCAAAGATGATATGGTTCCTCTTATAATGGCAGGTTCCTCAGATGATGCTGTACAAGCTAATAGAACATATAAGGCTTCCCTTTACAAAATATACAAAAACATGTAATATTTTACCAGAGGTGTAATATTAAATTAATGATTCAAGAGAAATTCCACAGACCTAATTTCACCTGCAGTTTTAAGAGGTTAGCTTGAAGGATAAGGAGGTCCCATTGTGAAATGTGCAGGTTAATTGTTTGCAACCTAAGAATTGATTTGGTGGCAAAGAAAGGCAGATCGTGTCTAATGATCACTTACAGTTTGACAGATCTATTATGAAGGCTGAAAGAATCTAAGATGCAGACTTTAAAAATACAATGAAAACAGCATAATCAGATATGACTGGGGAAAAACAAAAAAATCCACCTGGTATTCATTTGCATGTCAATACCTAGAATTTTCTGCCAGTTCATCACTTTTTTCAAAATGCTGAAGGGATTTAAAAAAAAAAAAAAAGGAATGGTTTGGCATAATGGTGGGGCCTGCTGATTCCTTTCTCTGTCCTTGAGTGTTTACTGCCAGGAAATCCTGACCAACATCGATTGCCAAGGGGTTAAAGTCACATTGTTGTTAAATTGGGAGAGAAAATTAGCAGGATTTTGTGCCCTATGCTCAACTATCACAGAGTTTCAAAAACAGGAACCTGGGGCTTTATATGAGGGGACAGGGGAAGTGAAGGGGAAGAGTCACAGGGTGATTTATCAGGGCATAGTTCCAGATAAATTGCTTACATGGAGGTAGAAGAATTTTAGGCATATATCCTGTGCCAAGAAACCAAACTGTTGAGCAGAAGCTCATCCAAAAGTGGAAATGGGTAGTTCTGGGTACAGTCCTTCCATATGTGAAGAGGTGATGATTTTATAGTCATGTAATTTGTACTCATGCATGTGCGGGTAGACTTTTCAGGTATCCATACCATGAGATTCTCAGGGCAAAAGAAAGCTAGTATTTCATCAACATAAACTTTAATAAGCTGCAAAACTCCTGGAGGACAGAAACCACATTTTCTCTAGGTTCTATAAAAGCAAGTTTTTCTCATGATTAGAATCTGACATTCTGGGGAAACTCTGCACATTTTAACTGATGTGACTTACTATCCTCTCCACCCTTTTTTTCTCTCCCATTAATAATATCAATCCTGAAGTGGGGGGTGGGAGCACAAAATACCCCAAAACATAGTAAGCACTGTTGGCTCCTGATTTACTTGAAGAATTAGTTAGAGCCATCAGGCAAACTTACTCTTGGGTCCTCAGAGCTGTCCTCCTTTTCAGTTGCTAAACAATACAAGTGCATTTTTTTGTTTAAAAAAATAAAAAAGAATTTCTGGAATAACTCCAGTGAATGGTGCTAAAATAAAATGCAAGTTTGGAAATTTACTCAGCATCTAAGAGCCCTTAGTGTTAGTGTTATTTTCTTCAGTGTAGAACAGACTTAATAGTTTGGTGAAAATCATAGACTGGTGGAGATTAATAGTTAGAATCTTCAAACCAGCGGGTCTTGAAGCTGGCTACAGCTGTCACTCATTGCACCACTTCCTCTTGCCAGTCAGGAGAGAATTCTCAGCATCTCTGCTAAAAAGAAACTTTATTTTTAGCATGTCAGTGTACAGGCACGTGTGCATGTACAATTCACACATATCCACTCACCACGTGCACACACACACACACACACACACACACACTGCTTCTGAGAAATGCAACTAGAATATCCTCAAGAGAAGAGATGGCAACCTCCAATTTAATGCACTCCCCTCAACTGAGAAATTTGAGGCCTAAGAAAGATAAATTACTTTCCTAAAGTCACATAGTTAAGCACAGAACAAAAGTTAGAACCCAAGTATCCTCAACTCTTATTCCAGTGCTTCCTTGTATACACTAATTTGAAGAGGCTTGGGGGTTTAAGCCCTTATATAGTTCAGTATATGTATATAAAGTGCTGCCCCTTCTCAACCAGAGTAGCCTTGAGAGTTTTCATAATGACCACAAACCTTTGGTTAGTTCTATAAAAGAAAATGAAAGAGATCATTTCATGACTAACCCACCCTGCTTTTTAAAGCAGCCTATTGCAAACCTGTTTCATTCAGAACTCTTTTTATTTTGCCACTTTTTGCAACACCTAACCACAGGCCTTATACATCTGCTCTTACTGAAACAGATTGCTTCCAGAGCATTAAGAAAAGAAATAGACATTTTCTTGGCTCCATATTTCTAATCTGCTTCAGATTGATTTTTTTTTTGGGGGGGGGGTTTAAGGATATTTTACATGTATACTGAGATCTCGCATCCTGAGATCTCAGTAGATTTCATCTGAAACTGCAATATTACTTTATGTTCAAGGTTGCTGAAATGATTTTTTAGAAAGGAAGGGAGAGGGAGAGAAAGAAACATCAATGATGAGAGAGAATCGTTGTTTGGCTGCCTCCTGCTCCCTACCCCTAACCCCATCTGCCACCCACTGGGATCGAGCCTGCAACCCAGACATATGCCCTGACCGGAAATCGAACTGACCTCCTGGCTTGTAGGTCAACACTCAACCACTGAGCCACACCGGCTAGGCTGCTGAAAGGATTTTTTATTGAAAAAAAGGATAAAATACATATTTCATTGAAAGCCAAGATAAACAATGGATTTTATCATTTTTAAAATCAATAACAAACACTCCTCAAACAACAGAAATTAGAACTATTAGCTAGTCATGTAAAGGTTTGTAGGATAAGTTGAAGGAACAGAAGAATAAAATTGATTAAATAGCTTTGGTCCTAGAAGACAATTAGGAGGAATAATCAGGAGATAACAGTACTTTGTCATTATTAAATGTTGTTGACTTTAAAGACTTCAGTTTTTGAAGCAAATGTGTATAAAGAAACTGGGATGCTGTTCACTGTGAATTAGAAGTCTCCAACTAAACCACTTTTTCTCTTTTTTATTTGCAGCCATTTGTTATCTATGACATGAATTCCTTAATGATGGGAGAAGATAAAATTAAGTTCAAACACATCACCCCCTTGCAGGAGCAGAGCAAAGAGGTGGCCATCCGCATATTTCAGGGCTGTCAGTTCCGCTCAGTGGAAGCTGTGCAAGAGATCACAGAATATGCCAAAAGTATTCCTGGTTTTGTAAACCTTGACTTGAATGACCAAGTAACTCTCCTAAAATACGGCGTCCATGAGATCATTTACACAATGCTGGCTTCCTTGATGAATAAAGATGGGGTTCTCATATCGGAGGGCCAAGGATTCATGACAAGGGAGTTTCTAAAGAGCTTGAGAAAGCCCTTTGGTGACTTTATGGAGCCCAAGTTTGAGTTTGCTGTGAAGTTCAATGCACTGGAATTAGATGACAGCGATTTGGCAATATTTATAGCCGTCATTATTCTCAGTGGAGGTAAGATTCATCTTTGATCGTCCATAAAAGTGGGTGGGATGGTGGTGGAATGGCTGAATTTTTTTTTTTTTACTTTTACTTTCCTAGTGCTAGTGAATGTTCCTTTTCTCTCTGTACTCACTGCACTTTTCATACAGAAAATGCCAATGGCATAATGCCGTGAAAGTGTCACCACGCATGTAAAATACCAAGAAAGGATATCATAGATTTGCTGTTTGAAGGCTGAGGCTAACCCAGGCTCTTTTCTTTTAATCCTCATGTAATTTTTTCCTAATCAAATTCAAGCATGGAAGACAAATGCCCTCTTCTCCTTTTCCTTTCTCCTTATTTTCTTTTTTTTCTTGTCTTTTCCCTCTCCTTTCCAGAAGGCCAATCTAATATTTATGTCATTTAAGTAATGACATGTTTAACTGTGCTTGAGATGATGCTCACTTGGCATAGAGAAAGTGCCATTAAGTGTTTTTGGTCAAATTATGCTCCTGCCCCACCATCAATAAGATATTTCTTTGAATTCCTTTTCCAATATCAGGAATCAAGCATATATACTATCTACTGACCTCTACCTACTCTCTCATGTAGATTCCTTTGATTGCTTCACTTAAAATACCTTTGTGAGGGGTTTGGCTGTGGTTAAGAATGCAATCTGAACCAAAGAACACAGAGCAGAGAAATGAATTGAGTTATTTAGCAATTCATTGTATTTTTGGCCTTGCAAGTACATGATCTAACTGACCGACTCCAAAAGCCAAGTTTTATACTAAATGCTACTTTTATTGGCCTCTCACATGTTTCCAACTTGAATAGAAGAAAGTTTTACTGTCATCTCGCTCTATAAAAGTTGTTTTTAATGACGAGTTTTCATTACTGAAATGGAGTTCAGGTGAGCTTTTTATGTGTCCTTACAGAATATCCTCTGAAAACTGGGGTGACATGGTGGAAGGGTGATATAGGTATAGATTTAGATATAGATAGATATAGATATAGATATAGATATAGATATAGATATAGATATAGATATAGATAAGCTGTGTGTAACTGTACAGGATATTATAAAGAGCATGATCCATTCTATTGTCCTTTGTTGTCCAATTACTTGAGAGTTGAATGCTTCTGAAATCAGGTGTGTAGTGTATTAGTAATAATAATAATAGCAAACGCTTAAGTACTTACTGTGTTCTGAGCACTGCGTTCACATTCATTTCGTTCTCACAACCCAATGAAGTAAGTTCCATTTTGCAAACAAGGAAACCAAAACACTAAAAGGTTCAATCTTTCATCCAAAGTTACCCAGCTAGTAAAAGATGGAGCCAGGATTATAAACACGGGCAGTCTGGCTCCAGAATCTATACTGATACTGCCCTGTGTATGACTAGGGTACATATGATAACAATATGGCATAGGTTAATTCTGGAGCCTTAAGTCCAGTGTCAAGTTGTAACTCCTTTAAAAATGATTTTTTGGTGTTATGTTTAATGTAACAAAAATATGCTATCCAACATGTTTTAGTATCTTGACTACTTCTTAAACAAATTAACCCTAGATCCTTCTGAAACTGATTAGTTCAGCAAACAAAAATGATATTCCAGATTACTTGAGGTTCACTAAGAGAAAAAGATTAAATTTTGAAAAAAACAGATTAGAAAACAAGTTAATATTGTTTAAATAGCTAATACTTTAAGGCACATTTTACTTTTAATGAAAAAGAGAAATAAAATGATTAACATTTGATATATTTCTAAGATTTTTCCTAAGCACATTATATAAACCATGTTCGTATTTCTTTCTCTGCTTATCATTTCCCCATGTCATTACATATTCTTTGTTAATATTTTTATTAACTTTTAAAAATAAAAGAAATACTTGGTCATTATATAATCCAAAGAGTACAGAAAGGTGGAAGTGAAAAGTAATTGTCTCTTTTCTCAGAATAAAGCTAGATTAACAAAGTCCTATTTCTCCTACCAAAAAGTTTCTATGCATGTGCTAGCATATGTATATGCTACCACTTTTAATAGCTATAAAATATTTCATTTTATAAAAGACTATTGCATACTAAATTATCTATATATGTTTAGGTTACTTATAATTTATTATAAAAACCTATAGAAAAGAATACAGAAAAAAATTTTAAATATGTTCCAAATTTTGCTGTAGTGAACATTCTTGTGTGTAAATTTCTGTTCAATTTTCAGGTTATTTTCTGATTCCAAATGGCCAAAATGGAATTGCTGGGTAGATGGCTATGAACATTTTTAAGTCTTTGTCACATTGTTGCCGGGTTGTTTTCCATAAAGTTGGTACTAGTTTATATTCCCACCACAGATGCTAAGGGAGGCATTTAGAAAAAACCACTCAAAGATACTTAATTTCTAACCAGGAAATATCTAGATAAGAAATAATCATGATAATTATGGGCTTTTTTGAACCGGAGTGATGTTGTTATATGGGTACATGAGACAACAGTGTGGTTTCATCTAGAAAAATGCCATTACTGCCCATATTTCACAAGCTAGATTATTTTAAAAATCAGTGATTTGTTAGGCCCTTAAATGTTTCATAATTAGCCTCTATATATATATATATATATATATATATATATATATATATATATAGTTCTGTGAATAGCTTGGTTCAATGTAATAGATATTTCAGGCAGGCCGAAGCCAGGGATCAAACCTGCAACCCAGGTATGTGCTCTTCATTAACCAGGAATGTAACCTGCCAATGCTCTAACCACTTAGCACACTGGACAGGGCTCTCAATTAGTTTTAATTTTCTTTCTATCGGATTTTCCAGAAGAGGAAAACATTCATGTAAGCAAGAGCTTTTGATTCAGTAAACATATTTCTGATCCTACCTGATCTTAAAGAGCGATTATTTTCTCCTCTGCAGTTCATTCTGATTCTATAAATAGCTTTAGTGATTTCAGGAAAAGAAGTACTTTTGACAGGCATCCATTGACCTCATTCTGAGCTAGGTTTAGAATCACAGAAGAGCTTCATTCTAGTGAAGGCACTATGACCCTAGACCAGTGGTTCTCAACCTTCTGGCCCTTTAAATACAGTTTCTCATGTTGTGACCCAACCATAAAATTATTTTCATTGCTACTTCATAACTGTAATGGTGCTACTGTTATGAATCGTAATGTAAATATCTGATAAAGGGTCGTTCGACCGCCAAAGGGGTCGTGACCCACAGGTTGAGAACCGCTGCCCTAGACTGAAGGAAGAATGGGGAGATGGGCATGATGTAAGAGTGGGGTGGTAAGGTCTTGGGGAAATTAAAGGGGGGCCCCAGAGGACCTAAAGGGGATTTTTTGGATGAAAGTACCTGATTTGACCCAACAAGTATTTGCTGAGGAAACTAGAGTTGCTATAGTAAGATCACTGTCACTCAACTTCAACCCTAGAAACTGCTGATACCATTAGATGTGGTACTTAGATTGGCCTGGTGCTTAGCATCTCTACTATTTACTCAGCTTTCAAACCAAGATTGTGAGGAAGGTGACCCAGTTCTCAAGTTTTTCTCCTTTCTCTCTTTCTCCTCTGAGCCTTAGGCAAGAATGAGACTAAAAACATCAGCACTCTAGAAACAAAGGAAAGCACTGTGTACATTTTAAGAGTATTTCATATGCATTCTCATTTCATAGACAGAAAAGTGAGGGTCATAAACTTATGCAATTTGCCTAAGATCTAACAACTAGTGAAACCCAGGTGTTCTAACTATCACCTCCAAATGCCCTGTCTGCCCCAAGCCCTGTCTGCCCCAAGCCCTGCCCTCTGCTACCTGGCTAGTGGATTGTGGTCAACTCCCTCACATTTGTGTGGGGGGTCGAAACCTGTACTCCCTTCATGATGCTCTCTAAGGTATAGATGTACCCATAATCCATACCTTATTCCTTGCTATTTGGGATGAGTAATGGTTTCCCTTGTTCCCTCTAGTCTCTCTGACTGGATAGGTGGCGTCAAGAGTAATAAAACTGCCTCCAGCAAGGGCATGTTTGCAACCGGCGCCACAGCATCATGCCAGCCACACATGCAAACTCCCAAAACCTACCCAGCAACCAAAGCCAAGTGGAAAGCTCAGTAAAGCTGACAAGCCCCAGGATACTCCATTGGACACTTTGCCCCTTTGAGCGTTTGCTGTTTGGTGAAGAAAAAGCATAGAAGGGTTCCAGCTGGAACTCTACAACAGGAAAAAGCTCTTTTTGCTAATTCAAAACAGTTTGGAATCTATTACAGTTCTTCCCAAACTTCCAAGATATGGGGGAGGAAATTCACTGGATTTTACAATATATTTTTCTAGGCAGATTGCCATCGCCATCCTAATGACAGAGAAGCTATAAATATTGATACAATGGCCACAGATGGCAAGTCATCCAGCCTCCTCCTTTACTCCCTTGAGACGGGCTTGGCTATCCAAACCACCTATATAGCAGCTTCTTCTTTTTCCAGCAGTCCCAGCCATGTTCTTGCTCTGTGAAGCAATTTTGGACAGCTGTGCTCTTGGAGTGATCTTGTGCATTTCTGCTGCTGAGTGGGCAGGGAGAATAGGGTATAAGAAGGGAGAATTGTTCTCATAGTTACACATTTGCAGATCAAAGAAAAAATAATATCCTCTTAAATAGTGCATAACTGCTTGTCCCATAGGTCAATAACCTGGGATCTCTGTTTCTCACCCTTGATCATGACTATAGAGTATATATATGTATAAATATAGATTTAGATATATAGACTTTTAAATTTGTTGGAATTAGAATAGAATCAAAGCACAGCACCTGACACAGAATAAATACTTAATAAATGCTTGTTTAGTGAATAATAAGCAAATATTAACAATAACTATCATTTATCAATTATTTTGCTGTGTGCCAGACTATATGCTAAGCACTTTACATACATACATTCATAATCGTTGTTCAACCTTTCCTGCAGCTCTACAAAGTCTATTATTATCCCCATTTAACAAATGGAGAAAATAGAAATTTAGAGAGATTAAGC